AATTTGCTGAGCCTAATTGGTGTTAGGATCAGTCCAAGGGAAAGCAAGGAGAGGCTGGGATGAAGGGTGCAAAGGAATAGTAAAGAAAGCATGTTTGAGATCCAGAACAGAATAATGGGTTTTGGGTTAGGTATTGAGGATAGAAGAGTATATGGGATAGGCAAAACAATTTGGTTGATAAGACACAGATCCTGAACTAAACTGTAAGGCTTGTCCGGTTTTTGGACAGATAAAAAGGGGGAATTGTAAGGGGAGTTTATAGGCTTTAGAAGGCCATGCTATAACAGGCGAGTGATAACAGGCTTTAATCCTTTTAAAATGTGCTGTGCGATGAGATACTGGCGTTGAGTGGGGTAAGGGTGATTAGGTTTTAATGGGATGGGAAGGGGTGTGTGATCAGTCACCAAGGAGGGCGTAGAGGTGTCCTATACTTGAGGTTTAAGGTGGGGAGATAGAAGGGGAGGATGTGAAGGACGCTTTGAACTGGGAGAAAAGGCAGCAATGAGGTGTGGCTGTAATCCAGGAATAGTCAGGGAAGCAGATAATTTGGTTAAAATGTGTCAGCCTAATAAGGGAACTGGGCAGGTGGGGGATAACTAAAAAAGAGTGCATTAAGGAATGTTTTCCCAGTTGGCACCAGAGTGGGGGAGTTTTAAGAGGTTTAGAAGCCTAACTGTTAATACCCACAACAGTTATTGGGGGCAAGGGAAACAGGCCCTTGAAAAGAAGGTAATGTAGAGTGGGTAGTCCCCCTATCAATTAAACAGGGGATGGACTTACCTTCCACTGTGAGAGTTACCCAATGCTCAGTGTCTGTGATGGTCCAGGGGGCTTCCGAGGTGATTGGCCAGCATCAGTCTAATCCTGAGTTTTAATTTGATTGCACTGTGATCTGAGAGACTGTTGTTATGATTTTGCTTCTTTTGCATTTGCTGAGGAGTGTCTTACTTCCAACTACATTGTCAATTTAAGAAATAGTGCCATGTGGCACTGAGAAAAATGTATATTCTGTTAATTTAGGTTGGAGCATTCTGTAAATATTTATTAGGTCAGAGCTGAGTTCAAGTCCTGATTATTCTTGTTAATTTTCTTACCCATAGATCTGTCTAATATTGACAGTGGGATGTTAAAGTCTCCCACTATTATTGTGTGGGAGTTTACGTCTCTTTGTAGGTCTATAAGAACGTGTTTTATGAATCTGAGTGCTCCTGTATTGGGTGCACATATATTTAGGATAGTTAGCTCTTCTTTGATCCTGTTACCATTATGTCTTCTTTATCTTTTTTGATCTCTGTTGGTTTAAAGTGTGTATTTTCGGAGGCTAGGATTGCAACCCCTGCTCTTTTTTTGGTTTCCATTTGTTCATTTGGTAGATTTTCTTCCATTCCTTTATTTTGAGCCTATGTGTATGTTTGCATATGAGATGGTCTCCTAAACAAAGCACACTGATGGGTCTTGAGTCTTTATCCAGTTTGCCAGTCTGTCTTTTAATTGGGATATAAAGCTCATTTACATTTAAAGTTAATAATGTTATGTGTGAATTCAGTCGTGTAATCATGATGCTAACTGGTTATTTTGCACACTAGTTGATGTAGTTTCTTCATAGTGTCATTGGTGTTTATATTTCAGTGTGCTTTTGCAGTTAGTGTTCTGGTTTTCCTTTCCATATTTAGTGCTTCTTTCAGGAGCTCTTGCAAAGGCAGGCCTGGTGGTGATGAAATGCCTCAGTATTTGCTTCTCTGGAAATGATTTTATTTCTTCTTCACTTATGAAGCTTAGTTTGCCTGGATATGAAATTCTTGGTTGAAAAATTTTTCTTTAAGAATGTTGAATATTGGCCCCTAATCTCTTTTGCTCTACAGGGTTTCTGCTGATATGTCTACTGTTAGTCTTATGGGCTTTCCTTTTTTAGGTGACCTGGCCCTTCTCTTTCTCTGACTTCCCTTAACATTTTTTCCTTCATTTCAACCTTGGAGAATCTGATGATTATTTGTCTTGAGTTTGATCTTCTTGTGGAGTATCTTAGTGTTGTTCTTTATATTTCCTTAATATGCATGTTGGCCTGTCTTGCTAGGTTGGGAGATTTCTGCTGGATAATGTGTGAAGTGAGTTTTCCAGTTGGTTCCATTCTCCACATTTCCTTCAGGTACTCAAATCAATCGTAGGTTCAGTCTCTTTATATAACTCCATGTTTCTTGAAGGCTTTGCTTGTTCCTTTTCATTCTTCTTTCTCTAATCTTGTCTGCACACCTTATTTGAGCAAACTCATATCCTTTCTTCTGCGTGGTTGATTTGGCTATGATACTTATGTACTCTTCACAAAGCTCTCATGCTGTGTTTTTCAGCTCTGTCATGTCACTTACATTCCTCTCTAAACTAGATGCTCTAGTTAGCAGCTCCTCTAAACCTTTATCAAGGCTCTTAATTTCTTTGCACTGGGTTAGAACATGCTCCTTTAGCTCAGTGGGCTTTCTTATTACCAACCTTCTGAAACCTACTTCTATCATTTCATCCATCTCATCCTCCATCCAGTTCTCTGTCCTTGCTGGAGAAGCATTGCGATCATTTGGAGGAAAAGAGGCACTCTGGCCTGCTGGGTTTTCAACATTTTTTCATTGAGTCTTTGTCGTATGTTTATGGGTTTGTCTAGTTTCACACTTTGAGGCTGCTGACCCTGAATGGGGTTTTTGTGGGGACTTTTTGTTGCTGTTGATGCTGTTATTGCTTTCTATTTGTTTGTTTTTCTACAATGGTTAGATCCCTCTTCTGTAGGGCTGCTGTGATTTTGTTGGGGGTTCACTTCAGGCCCTATTCATCTGGTATGCTCCCATGTGTGGAGATGTTCCTCAAAGAGGCAGGGAAACAGCAAAGATGGGTGCTTGCTGCTTATTCTGGGATCTCTGGCCTCTTGGGGCACCAACCTGATGCCAGTAGGATAGCTCTTCTATAGGGATCTGACAACCCCTGTTGGTGGATCTCATCCAGTCGAGTAGCCTGGGGAATAGGACCCATCTAATGAAGCACTTTGACTGTCTCTTGGTGTAGGGGGTAGGCTTTGCTGAAGGGAAAATCACTCATCTGGGCTGCCCGGATTCTTCAGATCTGCCAGGAGGAAAGGCTAAGTCTGCTTGTCCCCAGAGACTGATCACCTCTCTGGGGGCTCAGGGTCAGGGAGAGGAGGGTTCTGGTACCTCCAACAACTGAGCCTCTAGCTGGAGTTGTTGGATTCCTCCAGGGAGACTCACTCATTGAGGAAGGATGGGTCAACCAGGGCTGAAGAGGTGCTCTGTCTGCAGTCTACCATAGCTGACTTGTTTGGGACATGTCTTGGGACCAAGCTGTCTAGGCTCCCTGGCTCCAGCAGGGGAAAAGCACAGCCCAGAGCATAGAGATGGATGCCACCCTTCCCCCATTTGGGGAGCTTAGCGTGTTACGCAGCCATCAGTCTCAGTGCTTGCTGCTGCCCCTCCCTCAAGGAGTACAAACTGCTTAGGCAGTAGGCAGCTATAGCTGTGGTGCTGGTCAGCCCTCCCGCCAGGAACTCAAGAGGCTTAAGCAGATTCTAGCTGAGAGGCTGTTGAGAATCTTCACAGCTCCAGAATTGGGACCCTAGACCCCAGTGGCATGGGTTCATGAGTGGCACTTTTCAATTTATGGATGGCACAGTTCTGTGGCACATGGTTTCTCAGGCTGGGTATCAAGCTCACTCTCCACCTGCCTTGGCTGTGGGGTGGGGGCTCCCCTGGGGCAACAAGGGAACTCATAACTCCTGAGCTCGTGGAAGACTGAATGCTGGGATTGATTCCAGCCTTGCCAACAAGGAAGGAGTGCTGAGAAAAGCTGTTGGACAGCTAGCCAAGGATATTTCCCATATTCACCAGAGCATTTTGACTGTACTTCTGTCATAGTATTAATACCATTGGCCTTTTTAGTTGTTATTTGTGGGCTTCTTTTATCCCTTTGGTAATTTCTAGATTCCTTAAGGATGTGGACCTATTTTTAACAGCACATAGAGTACTGCCCTGCCCTAGACCGTGCTTATAGAGACTCAATTGACTAGAATTGGTCCAGGCCAATTGATTAAAAATTTTTCTACCTTTAAAAAATTTCTACCTTTAAAAATTGAATCTAAATTCTTTAAAATGAAGTTATTTGCTTGAATATTGACACCCTTCCAGTAAAGTTATGTTTATCCATTCCAGAAAATGATTAAGGGGTCTTAACCATAAAGGTACTGAAATAAATTACCATGGGTGCATGTAATATAAACCCCGAAAAGACTGTTTACAATTCTGTGTGGTTGTAGGAAGAAAAAAAGGATTCAAATATAAATATGAGTGGCACAGAAAATTTGTTTTGAGTCCATTTTACGCATCTGTTAACATTTTGAAGACTGCAGTCTTCAATTTTTACAATTTATCATCTTAAAGATTAGGAAGTGAAATAAATGACTTGTATATAACATCACTGCAATTCTCTATTTGAAGTTCCATTAATAACATTTCTCTTCAGAAAACAAACTACTTAGATAATTTTCAATTCAGTACATTATTATGCATATCACATAATTTTATTTAAAAATCATTTTATGTAGAGTGAGATAAACCAGATTTTGATTGCCGACGTGGTGTGAAGTATACAACTAGTGTTACACGTCCTAATTTGTTTGTTAATATAGTCTTCAAAAATTTATCTTTTTTAATGTAAAGAAATTTTCATATAAAATTCCCTTTATTTGGTTTGGGTTTCAGTGATTGTACATGTTCATAAATTTTTATTTCATCAACGATTTTAACTGATGTGTAAATTTCATTTTTAAAAAAGATTTGGCATACTATAATTTCAATTTTCTGTAAAAGAAAATATAATCCCTATTTACTTGCCAATTTGTATGAGTAAATGAGCAGTTCCTACCTTATTCAAGAATACTCATTCATAATATATTGTCTCAAATGATTGATAGGAAAATTTAAGTTTCATTCAACACAAAGACATGAATAATTTTTAAAACATTTTATTGTCTACTATTGGTACAGTTTTAGTTACAGAATTTGCTAAGTTAAGTGATTTTAAGCAAAAATCATTGTGTGCTTGTGTCATCCCTGAAAGCAACTGAAGTGTTTACTTCAGTTCTCCTCTGATATTCTGATCTTTTAATCCTGAAAAAAATAGCAAAAGGAACAATTAAATAATTTACAAATTAGTACCATTTACAATACATGTATGCCTTCACTTTTGTCAAAACAATGTACAACCATTTAAGTTGAACTCTGTAATTTCCAAAGTTTCTTTGTTCTTTCATTGTCATTAGATACTAGGTGTCCATGAAGCCATCTTCTACCTTCAGAACACTTAAAGCCTATTATTTTATAACAAAATAACAATTGTTACCTTTCTTTGAGTACTTCTTGCATGCCAGGTTCCAAGCTCATAATGCTATTTTATTTTTCATAAAACAACTCTAAGAAACTGTCAGTATTTATACTGAAATTTTACAGAAAAAGAAACTGAGTTTTAAAGAGTTCAAACCATCTGCCCAAAGTCACCTTTCCATAAATAGCTTTGTCAAGGTGTTAGCACATTATAAAGTCCATGGTGTTAATTTGTAATAAGCAGATAAATAAATGCATTTTCTATGCACAGAGAGAACATGTGCTTTAGAGTAGAATAGCCAATGATAGACATCAGATTACCTAGGATTAAATCAATCTCGTTTCTTTTTTTTTTTTTTTTTTTTGAGGCAGAGTTTCACTCTTGTTACCCAGGCTGTAGTGCAATGGTGCAATCTTGGCTTACTGCAACCTCCACTCCCTGGGTTAAACAATTCTCCTGCCTCAGCCTCCCTAGTAATCGGAATTATAGGCATCTGCCTCCACGCCCGACTAACTTTTTTTTTTCCCCTCTTCATATATTTAGAAGAGATGTGGTTTCACCATGTTGACCAGGCTGGTCCCAAACTCCTGACCTCAGGTGATCCACTTGCCTGGGCTTCTCAAAGTGCTGAGATTACAAGTGTGAGCCACCTGACCCAGCCTCAATCAATTTTCAAAAATTCTGCCCCATATTCTCTGTAAACATGCTCACAGTTATGAAGCCATTTATGACATATAGTATGACTTTTTAATTCAGAAGTTATCACATTTATACCTGGACAGATGCTTCAAAATGATATGATTTTATCATTTTTCCCCATTTAAAAGAAAAGAAAATACTCATATATTTGAAGTAACTTTTACAATAGTGCCTCCTTTTTGAGGGCAAAGCCAGAACTTGAACGTAGCTGTCCTGGCTTTCTATCCTGGTCATTTCCACCTCACTTTTCTATTCTTCTCAGTAGTAAATCATCAATAGCTTGTATAAATTGGAATTACAGTTGGATACATATAAGTGATAGAGTCACATAATCTCATATACATAGAAATAAGACTTTATGGATGTGGATAAAATTTGTTTTATTGATTATTCCCATTCATTTGTAAGTGCTTCTCATAATGGAAGATTCAGTGCTAAATTGAGGTAACTTCTTGTTAAAAGCTTAATATCTTTGGAATCTTAGCACTAAAAAGGACTCTAACAGCATGTTTAGTTTAGCTTTCTCCAAGTTAGATTGAAAACTACTGAAAACAGGAAACCTTCCTATAGGTTTTTAAAGAGATTTCCCATCTACCTTTTGTAGCTTGTTCAAATATTTGCACTCTAAAAATTACTCACCCCATCTTATCTTAAGCCTTCAAGGCAATTATAGCCTTTTCTTGCTAGTCAAATCTTTGAAATGAAAGAACTGATATTCCCTTATGCTGTTGCCCTTAAAATTAAGAGGGTTTAATAATATATTTTTCTAGTAATGGGTTTTCATAATTTATACTCTGGTAGAAATTCAATAATAATAAAATTTAAAGCCACCATGAAAACTGTGGTCTTAATTACCAAGCCACTTAGATACATTTGTTTATAGTGTAAAGACACAACATATTGCTTGAACTAATAGATCATAGACCTGTAACTACAACAACTCTAGACCCTGAGTTGTTGGACCCCTTAGAACTCTGGGGCCAACTTTGCTACACCATTTTAACAGGATTTGCATTGTAGTGGCTTCAAGGTATACTCACCACTTCCTCCTGCTTGGTCTTGTCTGTTGCTGGCCAAGCTTCCAGAGTCAGATCAGGAAGTATGGGGGGCAGGGGCTGCATGGGGAACATCGGAGGCAGAGGTGGCTGTGGCAGCAGGGGCTGCATGGGGTGCACAGGTGGCTGGGGCTGCATGGGCTGGTGAGGCTGTGGCTGAACAGGCTGGGGCTGGTAGGGCTGCTGGGCGGGCGGAGGGAGGTTTGGCTGGTGGTGTTGGGTTGGAGTCATGGAGTGTTGGCCAGGAACGGGCATCATTGGTTGTTGGGGGAGCACGGGCTGCTGAGCTGGCACCACTGGGATGTAGTGATGAGGCTGAAGGGTGTGAGTCAGGGGGTGCTGTTGGGACAGCACGGGGATGATTTGGTGGTGCAGCCATCCACCCATGGGCTCGTAACCATAGGAAGGGTACTGGTGAGAAACAGAGAGGCAGGTTTACCATTGGCTCAGGTGACTCCAGCCAGAGAAGCAGCAGTGTTTTCTTTGCCATTATGGCCCCAGGAATATTTTATTTTTCCTCTGCAAAAATTTGTAACTGTGTACAAGATATGATTTTTTACAAACTAAATTTCCCATTAGTGTCTGTATGTGGAGTACACATAGTGTTTTCTGAAAATGGGAATTTAAATGCATGCCTAATAATTTCAGAGAAGAACAAAATGTCTACGTACTGGTGGTCTTACCATGCTCTGGTACCACTTCAAAGGGGTGAGCACCTTAAGAGAAAGATGTATTAGAGTCCATTTGATTTAATTTACTTTTATCCAATGTAGAAATTCACTGATGCAGTATGAAATATAGACTCACTAAAGCAGTCCTGTCAACACTGATAGCCTGAGAACGTGAGTTCTACAAAAGAAAGAAGGTAAACATTTGTCGGGGGCTTCCTGTGTGTCAGGCACTGTGTTTATATCCATCACACACATTCTTCATCTTTTCTCATATGCTAGGAGACAAGTATTATTACTCTCACTTGTTAGATGAGGTCATGGGAAGTTAAAGAGATTCATTAACTTGACTGAAGTTATAAAGGGAGTAAATCTATTTATTTTCATAGCTCCTGCTCTTCATTGTAAGAGCAAAGCAAACATAAAATTATGCCATAATAATGTGACATAATGTTAATTTCATCTTTCCTTTGATGTCACAATGGGGAAAAAAATGTGCAAACACTGTCCCTCATCCTAAAAACACAGATTTACTGATCAAATTTGTCAGTCTTTTAGGTGTAACAGAACACCTTGCATCAGATTCTTACTAACATTTGTCAGCAGCTTGTGTAAGTAAATAAACTCAAAGATTATTACCTGAACCTGTGAGAGAGGTAAGAATTTTATTCCTTTCTGAACAGTATATATTGGTTAACCTTAGGTTTGGGGATTCTTTTTCTAGTAATACAGCATTTAATCAATAAAAAATTAATTACCTTGCTCATATTATACCTGACAAAGCAGTTTTGTAACTGTTAACTATATTACTGTCCAACATTTTGAAATGTGAATATTACAGTAATTTCCCTCATCCAAATGAGGAAACTGGGGTTCCAAAGAGAGGAAATTATTTCCCCAAAGTCAGTAATTTTACCTAATCTTTACATTTCACCAGATGGGATAGAACCAAGCTGGTCAGTCAGAGTTGACTTTTTGCCCTTTCATGGAATCTTCCTGAGCAGTGGTTCATGATGAATAAGCTTACAGCCATATTTAGGAGGAGAGAGTCAATCCGAGTAATCAGGCAGGAGGGTGGCTGGAACAACACAGGCTTGAGACCAACCATCAGAGCTTAAACTGGGAAGCTGATGGTAGGAACTGTAAAATTGGGACCACTTGAGAAAGCACTTCATTTGGGATGAAGAGTCAACCCACTATTCTTCACAGAACCCAGGGGACTGTTAATGCAAACAGTGATCAAAATTAGTAAAGAGAAAAATTACCTCATAGCTGAAGTTGATATAACCAGGGTGCCCAGGATGAGGTGGTAGCTTTTATAGGGAGGAGGCGAGGAGAATAGAAAGAGAGAGGAAGGGAGAGTGTGAAGGAAGGGAAGAGAGAGTAAAAGATTAAGTCAATATGCAATTGTTCACATTAAGAGAGACTAAAATTACTTTTAAAAAATCTGTATAATATAGACTATATTTAAGGTCTGTTTTTTGTTAAAATAAATGTGCTATGTAGGAGGGGAGACCTCTTATTTTAAAGAGGTCTAGAATAGCTAAATGATTGTTCCTAGGGTTATAGTCTTAAAGTTGGAGACCTGGAAGCAGAAACCAGGACACATTTATTCTCCAGTGATCAAACAACATCCTTCTCCCACCCCAGTGTTGTCAATGAATTCTACCTTACCCTGTCTAACAGTTTACTTGCTGATAAAACTCACCCCATGTTGGGGAGTGAAGTGTGTTTCTTTTACACAGTAAAGAAATATCAACAAGCAGAGAATTGTCTCACAAATATTCCCTTTGTAGATCAGGAGGTGGTCAAATACTTTAAGTATCAAAGGGATTTGTCATAATTGACATGCAAAGTAAACAACACATCCAAACAACAAAAGAAACCACAAGATGGAAATTAATGAATGCCAGAACAAGATGGGTGCAGAAAGTAGAAACTTTATAAATCCCATGGAAAAATGAAAGAGTTTATTTAGGCCAGTCTTTTTCATCATTCTCCCCGTGTTTTTATGGCAGAAAAATTTTAAGTTAAAAATAAAAGGCTACCTGAGTGATTATCTGAATCAGGACTGTCTATCCTCTCTAAGGTGCGCGCCAAGTGTTTGGTGCCTGCATTGTGGAACTCTAGTTGTGCCTGGGGTCCACATGAAGGAAAAGAGAGACAATCATGAAGAAAGTCTCCCTCAGACATTGACCTCATTTAGGACTGACTATATTATATTATTTAAAAATTCTCACATTCCATAGGAGGGTTTATTCACTCTTATCTGAATGTGAATGGTTTTATTCAGGTCCTATACCCTCTTGATCGAGAGCAGGAAAAGGGCTGAATTTGTAATGCTGGCACTCTTGAGAAGACTAGGGATTGCCACAGTGCAGGATTTCAGGAAGGCAGAGCACAGAATCTTGGCTTTGTGCACGAGAGAGGAAGAGAGGAGGTAGGTGTGGAAGCTTGCTGGCTTCTGGTTGTATCAGCTGCTCTTTATGCCACCAAAAAGTAAATGCAGGCTGCTTGGCATGCATGTGTTCTAAGTTCTTTACCTTTATGCACCTGTATCTAGATAGAGTGGGTCTGACATCTGGTGTTTAATACATTTGAATATAAAATATATCACTATATATTGAGTGTAGGCGGGATCCTGGGCAACCACAAGAAAGCCACGTACTTATCAGATGCACCCAAAGGGGTAGGACTTCTGAGATTAGTTAAGATGGTTCTAGAAGTGGATTCCTAACACAGAAATCTTACCCTTTGACGGATAACAACTGTAATCTGTGGAGGGGAAGAAGAGATCTGTAGACTTGAGAGGAGCTGGGTTTTAGACCAAACGGGCATTTTGGTAATATTTTTATAAGGCTGATTAAGCACTTTCTCTGGAGACCTTTCAAGAGTCCTTTTCAAAAGTTTCCTCCAGGCCAGCATTGTAGCTTACACCTGTCATCCCAGCCCTGTGGGAGGCCGAGGCAGGTAGATCATAAGGTCAGGAGATGATGTTTGGGTGAGGGAGAAGGGACAAGATGGAGGAAGGTTAACAAGAAGGCACAGTTCCTGTTGCTTCCGGGTTCTTCATCAACAACTTGCCGGCTAGGGAAAGTGCAGCCCACCCCAAGGAAAATGCAGATCAACTGAGCATGCACCAGGTGAGGTCAATCCAGAGAAATGGAAACTTACCCAGCCACGCCTACTGAGACGCCCCTATCACGCCCCTATCCCGCCCACTGCACCCCCTCCCAATGCACCCTCCCCCCCCACCCTCTTCCAGTGCCAATGCATAAAAGTCCGCCTCAGGCAGGGAGTCCACGTGACTTCTTTGGCGCCTGCATTCATGGACGGGAGAACCTCACCGGAAAGGCCAGGGGGACTGCCCTGGCCGCTTTTCCTGTGGACCAGTGAACCTCGCGGGAGAGTGCGTGCATATTTGCAGATAAAAAGGCTGCCACTTTCTTCGCTCGTTTTGGCCTTTATTGATATTTAGTCTTTGCGTTATTAATAATAGTAATAAAAAAACAAAACAGTCAAGACCAGCCTGATCAACATGGTGAAACCCTGTCTCTACTAAAAATACAAAAAATTAGTGTGGTGTGCTGGCACATGCCTATAGTCCCAGCTACTCAGGAGGCTGAGGCAGGAGAATCACTTGAACATGAGAGGTAGAGGTTGCAGTGAGCTGAGATCGTGCCACTGCAGTCCAGGCTGCCGGACAGAATGAGACTCCGTCTCAATAACAACAACAAGGAGAAAAACACAAAAAAACCAAAAACTTCCTCCATCTAGAAACGGTGGTGATATTTACAAGCGAATAGTGTCAACTGAAGCTCCTGGGATGCGTGTAAAAATACAGACTTCTAGGCCAAACCCCAGTTGTACCAAATCAGAACCTCTAGTGGAGGTATCTCAGAAGCTATTTTATTTAATTACTTGATTTATTTTTAAATTTTTGTGTGTACATCATAGTTATATATATTCATAGTGTACAATATGATGTTTAGATACATATTTACAATGTGGAAAGATTAAGTGAGGCTAATCAATGGAACACTATAGCCTTAAAAAGGAAGAAAATCCTGTCATTTACAAAGATGTGAAAGAGCATGAAAGACATTCTGCTAAGCAAAATAAGCTAGGAAGAGATAATCTGTTTTCACTCCTCAAAGTGTTTCTTCAACACAAATGTTTTGGGGCCTCTCAGCTTAAACTGTTTTAAACCCTAAAGTTTCCCAGCTAGGGGACAGATTCTTATTTCCACATTTGTAAATTGGACACGACTTATGCTAAGAATCTTTTACTCACAGGCATGGCAAAAGCTGCTCCCACAAGGCAGGCAAACAAAATCCACGTCCCCATTTCTTGATGGTTCTGAAATGAAAGTCAACAACTGCTTTTCTCATCTCTTCTCAGACATGTACATCATAAAGCTATCTTAAAAAACATAATCTGCTTTTCTCATCTCTTCTCAGACATGTACATCATAAAGCTATCTTAAAAAACATAATCTGCATTTGTCCATGGGTAGCAAGTAGGATATTCTTTGCCAGGTTAATTTGTTCATGTTTGATTTCAAGTTCTCAGTCCATTTTATTATTTTGGAGTCACAGTAGTTAGCATAAAATCATTTTTCATTTAGGTTGGAAACTGAACAAGTTTAGGAAAATAAATCATGTCGTTATGTAATTTGGAATGCCATATTCCTGTCTGTCTGTATGGTCCCCTAAAGCCATACAAGCTAGGTATAATTTGTAATTAATAATTAAAGGAACAAAGTTGGCTTTTAGGGTTCAAGAGCCCATCAGGGTAGGTATTTACCCATTACTACACAGCATTTTATCACTTTAAAATGAGCAGCTGAGAAATATTTCTTGTATTACCCATCTAGGTATTGATACTGTTAAAAACAAAGACTGATGATTTGAGGGAAAAAATGTAAGTTATTTGCCAAAATAGATTAAGAAATGACAGGGATTTCCAGCCTTGTAGAACTTCAGGCAAGTGAAATGTCTGAGCTCAGGGGGTCTGCATAGCAAAAGATAAGGTTAAACAGAAAGGCAAAGAAAACAATGATCTGTGTATTTATTGATTCTTCAGTAAGTTTTGGATAATTTATATCTCAAAGATTCTATTTTTATTTCATGGTATCTTCCCTTTAATATATGTTCTAATTTAATTACTCTACAAATTTGGGATGTGAGATATGAATTAAAACTTGTCCACTTAGACATATGCACAATGCTTCATGTCTCAAATTATTGACTAACTTTAAAAATCTTTAAGTAAAAAGACATTAATTTTGGTTAAGACAGTGAATATAATATTTAGTAATGCTGATATGAGTACTACATTGATGTTCTATCCTAAATGTGTGTTATTAAACTTAAAATAATTTTTAAAAGAGATAAAGTTTTAGATGATAGTTTTAGTATGAAATAAGGTATTATTTGATGTATATAACAAAAAAATCTATTCAAATAATAAAGACAGCCTTGAAGTATTATTTCAATTTAGTTTACAAGTAATTAAGATAAATATTTGTTGTGAGTTTGACTTCCAGGAACTCCTTTTGAGTTCTAAAATTAAAATTTAAATACACGTGTAGACAAATACTTTGACGCATTATAAAGTAAAAAAAGATTACGTAATGAGAGTCAAATTTAATCATAATCCAATAGAAGTAACTGATTCTTAACAGCATAAAGTATTAGAAACATGGAATTTATTAGCATCTATTAAATATGAATTACAGAAAAGAATTAAGCAGAATAAAAAGAATACAAAATAATGTGTAAAATCCACATACCTTTAAATATATTCAGAGAAACTTTCTTTGTGCAACACAGGGAGGCTTGGTCCTATAGATTTTCTTTAAGTATGGGCTCAGTTTATATCCTTCAAGGTATCTACAACAACCAATCACATTTGTGAAGAAAAAATATGTTGAATGTGACTAAAAATTCCTGTATCATCATAATTTTTTTGCAACCATGGCTAAATATAAGGTAGTATATTATGATTAGTCCATATAGTCCTTCATTATAGTCAATAATATGTTTAACAGGCAAAAGGAGCTTCATTGCACTGTTTTTAAGTCAGCAAATTTGTAGCTTGCACATGCCAAAACATTCAGACTTATGTTTAAGAGGGTCTTATGTCATTGCCTGTGATTGTTTAAAATTTTTAAATCACTACAGCTCTATGTTTTGCTTTCCTTAAAGGTATGTCCTTTGTTCCCTCTAGCTACTCCTTTGTCACCACTCTGTTGTTCAAAAAAGGGCCAAAAGTCTCTCTGGTGTGATCTGCAACTATTTATTATCTAAACAAATTCAAGGTTATCCTAGTAGCAAAACTTTTATGCATGATCTAAAAGGCAAGACCCGAAGGATTTTACACATTAGACAGCACACATAAAAATATATTTAAATACTTAGGAACACCTATCATAAGGCATATTGCCCTGGCTACTTCATCCTACATAGCATATCAACCTTTCTAAGTATGATGGCTCTTTTTTGCCCATGTACTTCTAGCACATTTCTGCTTTCTTTCATGCATGAACCAGATTTTCTTTTTCTTTAGTGTCTCTTTAATTGAATTGTTTTCTTATTTTTAGTAAGCTCTACTTTGCCTAAGCAACAACAAAAATATTTTCCTCTCTGAGAACTGTGATCTGTCTATCAAAAGCATGCTTTTTTATAACCCTTTCATCTTAGTGAACCACATAAATTTATTATTTTATATCTGATCAATTAAAAATAAATTTTTAACTAGCATCGAGATAATTAGTGAGTCTATCAATATTAAATTAATAAAGGAAATAGTAATACCCAGATACAACTAATATTATAGCTCAGTCTTTTTGAATAATTAGCTAATATTTATAAACTTTTTGCATATGAATATTGTACAGTACAGACGAGCAAAATTTGAAGAATTAAATTCAAGGACAAAATATGTATGAAAAGCATGCGTATAATAGTTAATGCTATGATATAAATGTGTGTGGGTTCACCTTACCCAAGTTTCATCAGGGGACAACCTTTAAGTTACTTAGCTTGTCTGAGCCAACTTTCTTCATATATAAACTGGGAACAGTAACAAAACTCTTTTAATAGAATTAGCATGAAAATTAGAAAGGGACATCGTTAGTAAATGGAACGTTATTTATTACCTGTCCTAATTCACCATATGGCACTTAGAAATTTTTTAAAGATGAAAATAAGATTCTAGGATGAAGTAGGGATATTAGTAAGAAATGGATAATTTTTATGAAGAAAGGTAAATCAAGCTAAAAGGAAGAAAGATAAACCTATCACCTTCTACTTCTTCCTATACAGAAAGATGTAGAAGATTATAAAGGGCAACATAGATGAGTTACAGTGAACGCAGAATATAGTTCTAAATGCCAGCTGTGCCCAGGGTGTATATGTATTTATGAATATATTTATTAGTGAATTGTGTATTGAAGGTAAGAAGAATACTCGTTGAAGGAAATTGTAAAAGTAAGTTTTAAGAAAACAGGCTTTAGCTTATTTGTAGACAAGGGGTAAGAGAGGGAGTAAAAGGAGAGAGAAGGGAAGTATAACCCATGTTCTCCTTCAATTTATTTTATTTTATTTTATTTTATTTTATTTATGTTTATTGAAGTTCTTAAGAGGATTTAAGAAATTTTTCTACAAAATTATGGGTGATCTCTTCTAAAGAAATGATTGAAAACAAAAAGTAGAGGTCTTGTGGCCTTAACAATGTATTTTATTATGTTGTTTCATATTTTTGAATAAGAAGTTATATATTTGTTCAATGTAAACAACAGAATGCTTGCTTCTAATTCACTGTGGAGAATTGTCCAGAGTTTGATGACCTGTATCTCAAAAACGATGTGATTCCTTCTATTTCTCCCAACTGAATATTCTAATTCATACAATCTTAACATATGGATAACTCTGCTTGAAATCTCTCCATTTAGGTCTCCGTTAAAAATTTAAAAATTATCAGCTGTTTTGGAAGAGAGAACAACATTTCAGTAGAAACTTTTTTATATAAACAAAAATTTCATTTATGAATAAGTTGAATTAAAAAAATATATAATTTATTGTATTGACTACTTCCTGAGGGAGAGGATCAAAATAGCTGATTAGATGTTGCTAACATGTACCACTTCCATAGAGAGAAACCCAAATAGCAAGTGATACTCACACTTTCAACACATTGTCTAAGAGAGAATCCTGGGGTTGAACAGACAAGTGATAAGAATAACTGAAAGCGCTTAAAAAAGGGCTTAAGGTAGCTTGCCCAGCCGGGAACTAAGAGAATCTCCTAAATATGGAAAAAGAGTAAAAGACAAACCCCCAGGGTTCCACCCTTCTGCAACAGGGTTTTGTGATATTGACTATTGGAAATACCCTTGATCCGTGTGTGCCTCAGGATTAACACAGGGAGGGACCTAGGCATTGCACAGAGACATTGCTCCAGAAAGGAACACACCTAGAATCCCACAGACATGAGCCCAGAGCAGCTATAGCGTGGCACCATTCTAAGAACCTTCATGCTAGGATCTACTCCTGCCCAGAGGGCAGACTGAAATGGCTACTGCCACTGGGCCAAAAAGGAAGAAGAGAAAAGGGACCACTAGGACAATCCTTACCATATTGCTACAGCATGCTGTAGGACCAGGGTGTGATAAGTTAGCAGTCCTCACAACTTCTTACTCATGAAACTCACCAGAGAGAAACCTTGCCCTTTCTGGTCGTGGGTTCTTGGCACCATCTTGAGAATTTAGGGTTGGGCTGTGCTCCACACTGGGGCTGAGTCCAAACAGACATGGCTGTAGCTACCATATGACCAGGAAAGGACAGGTGAGACCAGACTGTTAGACAAACATAAGACAATTCCCACCACTCTGCTGTGGGCTACTGTGAGACTAGGGCATGAAGAGTCTTAAGTCTCCACAGCTTCTTTAGCTTCTTACCCATGCCGTTCCACCTGAGAGGCTCCCGCTTCCTGGTGTTTGGCTCATAATGCACCAACCATATCATCCCACAGTAGAGCATTCCTCTAGTAATGCCTCTGTCTGTCACAGCCAGTGTGTGAAGACACTACCAGGACCCTGAGGAGAAGCACCAGAGCCAGGGCTCTAGTATGTTATCCAGGAGCCGAGAAATATCCTGACCCAGCCCATCACCAATGGCATCTGATCCCTTCAGGGATCTGAAGGGTCTGAAGGCCAGGGTCTGAAATCAGACTGACCCAACCTACTGATATTGCCATAGAGAACACCCATCCATTCATACCACCAGCAAGCCAAAGAACTGTACTACCCAATCCATCACAGCTACCAGCAACACCAACATGGGCTTCTGGGTCCCAATGTGTTCCTCCACCACTGCTACTGCTGTCACCCATACACCAGCTGGACAGGGGCCCAAGAATCCACCTAGTCACCTGAACCACTTTTCTTACTACCAGTGTCTAAGTAAGCCATCTGGTGGTCCAAGAATTGACTTTCCAGGACACAGTAACATTGGTGCCTGTTTAAGCTGCATTGATGCCTACAAACAGGGACGCTTTTGATGTACCAATGCCACTGGGAGCATTAACTCATCTGGTATCATATTCCCCAGAAAAACTTCACCATAACTTCAACTAATAACCATACCCTAAGCCACTGAGCAAATCAGAGATACCACTGAACTTGTTTAGTGCTAAAGAAGTCATACAGAGATTACACAACTGCAGGTACCCAAAATCAAAGCCAAATGTCTCAAATGTGCATGTGTGTGTGTGTGCACGCATGTGTGTGTACCTTCAGGAAAAAGTTCTCACCTATCAGAGCAATTTCAAAAACTTGTAAGAAGCAACTGTTATGGGAGATGTGCAGATCCTAACACAGGGACACCGAAACAAGAAAAGGTAAGAAAATATGACATCACCAAAGGACCCCAATAATTATCTAGCAACAAGTCCTCTTTCCCCCTCTCAGGGATTTCCACAGGGACCTTTTACTGAGGATAAGATCATGACATGGTGCCAGGTTTCCCATGCACAACCCTCATTTTGGGTGAGCATTCCTGCCATACTTAGCTCAGGGTGTCCTTTCCGTAACAGCTCTATAACCCTTTGTCTGCCTGCTTATGACCCCACAACAATAATACATTACCTTCTCTGAAGCTGATTTCTGGCACCTAGAGTTAAAATATATTATTTCTCTAATGAAAGGACTGACATTAAAAGTATTTCACTAGGTAACATATGCTGAGAAACAAAAATTCTCTTCAATAAATGGTGCTGGGAAAATTCAGGGAATGTGATAAATTCCCTTTGTAGCTAGACCAGGTGAGTCTAGTTAAAACCAAGAGAGCTGAGCAAGTAACTTCAAAAAGACCTCAAGCCTCATCATAATCTCACTTTAATGCAAAATGACATTTCTGCCAGTGATACAACAGATGACTAATCACCAAGGCAATGACCAGAACCACGAAACGACAAATAAAGCAAAACTACAGTTCTGAAAAGTTTAAGCCCACTTTCTGAAAACACATGTTCTTTTTCTTACTTTAGTACAACCTGTAAAGATTTCTCAAAGAACTAAAAATAGTACCACTTGATTCAGCAATCCCACTATCTGACATCTACCCAAAGGAAAACAAATTATTGACTAGGCAATACAAATCCAACAAGATATCAAGATATATAATATGCCATGATCAGTTGGAATTTATTAGAGCAATGTGAGGATTTTTGAAATATGCAAAGCAATAAATGTAGTAAGTTACATCAGCCGAATGAAGAACAAATAAACATATAATCGTCTCAATGCAGAAAAATTTTTTAAAAAATTCAGTGTTCTTCTATTATTAA